TCATGTCCCTCAATATTTGTTTTTATGTAACTGGGTACACTGGTATTATCTCTTCCTCTTGGATTGTTCCCTTTACAAGGAAATAGTGATCTTCTTTGTCTCTCTTAATCAGTCTTGGCTAGAAATCTACTTTGTCTTCAAATAGAATATCTACGCCTGCTTTTCTCCGGGTTCCTGTCACATGAAGTATTGTTTTCTATCTTTTGATTTTCAGTTTATGAATTTCTTTTTATTACATGTGTTTCTTAAATGCAGCGTATTGTTGGATCTTGCTTCTTTTTTTTGTTGTTTTGTTTTGTTTTTTGAGACAGGGTCTCACTATGTAGTTCAGACTGACCTGGAACTCACTATGTAGCCCAGGCTGGTCTCAAACTCACAGCGATCCTCCTGCCTCAGCCTCCCGAGTGCTGGGATTACAGGTGTGCGCCACCACACCCAGCCTGGATCTTGCTTCTTGATCCATTCTGTCAGTCTGTTTCTTTTGATTGGTGAACTGAGGCAATTTACAATGGTGGTTATAGTTGCTATGCATTGTCTTATCCTTGTCATGGTATTTCCCTATTGTTGGTTCCCTTCCCCCCCTCTCTGTTTAATTGCTTGCTTTTCCTGGTGTTTTCATTCTGTAGGGATTCACGGAGTTGTAGTCCTCAATATCTCTTTTTATAATGCCTTCCAGAACATTCTGAAGTGCTTTTGTGAAGTGACTTTTTGTGAAGTTTGGTGGTCATGAATTTCTTCAGGTTGTCTTTGTCTTGGAAGTGTCTTATTTCTCCAATTTCAAAAAACAGTTTTGTGGGGTACATCAATCTGGGCAGGAGTTTGTTTTCTTTTAGGACTTGAAATACTTTACTCCAATCTCTCTTTGACTTGAGGGTTTGTGTTGAGAAGTCTGCTATGATTCTGATGGGCTTTCCTTTATAGGTGATCTGTTTCTTTTCTCTAACAGCTTTTAATATTTTGTTATTGTGTTGAATTTCTGGAATCTTGACTATTATATGCCTTGGTGTTGATCTTTTTTTTTTAAATCATGGCTAATTGAAGTTCTATATGCTTCAGTTGTCTGTGTGTTAAATTATTTTTTCATGCTTGGGAAATTTTCTGCCACTACTTTTGTGAACTGGTTTTGTATGTATTTTGTGCCATTTCCTGCTTTTTTATTGATGCAAATCAATCTTATGTTATCCTTATTTGCATCATCTAGCAGCTGTTGGGTTGATTTTTAGTGGTCTCTTGCAATTTTTAAGAAATTATGGTCACTAACTGAAATCCTGTCTTCTAGATCTGATATTCTGTCTTCACATTGGCCCATTCTACTACATATACTTTCAGTGGATTTTTTAATCTCCTGGACATGTTTGAATCTGTTTCATGGGTTCTATTTCTTTCCTATGTTGGGTGTTCACAGTTTCCATCATTTTCCTAAGCTCTTCTATTTTTTTCTTTTAAATCTCTTTCTGCTCTAGAGCCACTAACCATGTCTTTCGTTGTGGTCACCAGTCCTAGTTATCTGAGAAATTATTTCTGATTTGATTTTCTCTAGAGCCTCATTCATCTTCTTTGTTACTTCTGCTGTTGCCACTTCGGAGAGTCCAGGTCTGTGGCTTTTGACTTGTTCCACTTCACTGCCTGCTGGGTTTTCCTTTGGTGAGCTGGAAGTCTGGGGTTGCATCTTGCTTCCATGTCTTCTCATTTTCTGTTTTTGTTTTAGTTTAATTCCTCAGTTGATGCTTGTAAATTGCTCATGGGAGGTAGCTTTATTGATAGTATTGACAACTGTTAGGAAATGACTGCTTTTCAGAGATGTCTTCCAGATGTAGCTGGCTTTTGGGTTTTGAGTCTGTTGCAAGATACTACTTCTTCAATTTATTGGGGATAAAAAATTTATTGGCCTAGCTCCTGGATCTTTGGAACTGGCTTATAGTATTATGACCCTCAGGCAATCTCAGTCTTGGCATACCAGGAAGAACAACTGATTAGAAAAATTATGTCATCTTGTCTAAAGGAGTGCAATCATCAGTATCACTAGCATCGAACACAGCCTAGAAAATAACAAACTGTGGTAACTCTTAATTTGCCACCTTTAACTGTATCAGCTACATTTGTGTTTACATAACAAAATCTAAAACAAAGCAGAAAATTATATATAGTAAATATGCCTTCATTGTGGCCATTTTACCCTCGGGGGAGAAAATTTAAAAGGCATTGGGGAAAAAAAGAGAAATAGAAGAAAAGGAAGAGATTACAAACAAGGCTGGAAGACAAAGGTGGATTATGAAAACTTTGGGAAAATGATGAAGACAGGAGGGAAAGAGAAAAAGAAGAAATAAAAATGAGAACAGAACAGAACAACAGCAAAACCAGGACAATCAAGAAAAAAATTGTTCACTTCAGGGTATGTCTCTGCTGTCACTGGTAGAAAAAGCGGGCAGTCAGAGCCCAGATCCATGTTGATTAATCCCAGAAAACCAACCATAGATTTATTGGTAGGGGGTGAAATGTATAATCCCAGCAAGCCTACACCTTTAGTTCCACTGAAGTTCAGGGTGGTTTCTGGCCATGAGGCTAGAACCCAGTTTGTTCAGCCTGCAACACTCTGTATGCCTCCTGCTGGCTGGAATGCAGCTCCTTGACCTCCTACTGACTTGAACTTGGTTCTATCTCACTCTGACACTGGGAGCTGTTAGATGGAGCCAGACTGTAGCTGCTCTGAATTCTAAGATCAGTTGGTCTTTCTCCAAGATGGTAACCAGCCAATTGCCCTTTCCTGTGGGAGGTCTGACCTGAATAACTCGCCAGTCACTGCAGTCTGCTGCACCCACTGCTCCATTCCACTGGTGTGTTTCTCCATGGAGGCCTCCGGGGTCATCAGTAGTCACTATGCATCTGTAGGTTCCAGCTGCCCCCTCCACCCAGCAAGTCAAGGCTCATGGAGAAAATGCCACTCGCTCCCTCCTTCTTCTCTTCCTCATGTTGCTATATTCCAGCATCTGTACACCAAATCTCAGAGAGGCTGTTTCTCTGCTGTTTGCCACTCTGCTATTTTCCCAGAAGTTGTAATAAAATTTTTAAAATTTAAATATTTATTGCATTTTTATCACCCCTCATGTTATGCTTAAAAACAAGGTCATCAATACTCAATCTCACCATTTCTTAATTATTTTACTACATTGTACTATTATCTATGCTCTGAAGATTATTTGCATTCATTGTTATTATCTGCTGCATAAGAGCTGGTGCTTCAAATGGTCCAGGAGAGTACTTACACGGAGGAAAACAAAAACACTATATTTACCATCTCTTGGTGAGTCTGGAACTCTTTCCAGGCAAAATAACTCCTTCTTCCTGGTCAAAAATGAAGGAGGATTCAGGCAGTGTGGCACGTGTCTGTAATCCCAGCTCTCTGGAAGGCTGAGGCGGGAGGATTGCAAGTTTGATTCCAGCCTGGGCAATTTAGTGACATAGACTCTGTCTCACAGTTAGTGATATAGTTCAAAGCAACAGCCTGGGTTAAATCCCCAGTACCACAAAAAGGAAAGAAAGGAAAGAAAAGAAAGGAGAGAGGGAGGGTAGGGATAGGAGGAAGGAGGGAGGGAGAGAAAACGAAGGAAGGAAAAAAGAAAGAGGGAGGAATCACAGGGCCTCAGCCGTTTAGAAGCTGGTGACGGGAGCCCCCTGGTGGTTATTCTGAGCACCAATCATCAACTGAATATATCGTGGGGAGTTGGTACACACACATCATACCTTAATCCTTTTTACTTCCCCTCCCTCCCCTCTTTTCTCTTTCCCTCCATCTCTAAGTCCCTTTCACATCTACCTCCCTCCCTGTTTCTTATTAATGCTCTATTTTGCTCTTTAAACTATTTCTACTTTGGGTTTCTCATATTAGAGAAGCCACATGACATTTAACTTCTGTGTCTGACTTATTTCACTTAGTGTCACAGTCTCAGGTGCATCTGTTTGCCTGCAAATTACGCATATTTTTCTTTTTTATGGCTGGGTAGCACTCCACTGTGTGCATTCCTGAATTAAATCTTGCACCTTGCAAGCGGAGAGAAAAACAGAAACAGGCAGAGAATCACAGAACCGGAAGGGCTGGGCCTTTTCTGGCAGATACGGAAAACCAGGTTGCACCATCACGTAGCACCCCCAAGCCTTAGGAACCTAGGACCCTGAAACCATTCTGATGCCCCCAAACCCTTCAGCCCCGGGGTCTGCAGGCTTTGTAGGGGTTCCCTCCTCTCCCCTTCTCTGCGGCTCCCGATCCACAGAAGAATTGAGCTCATGATCCTCAGAACCCATCAGGGGCCTCACCTGGTTATCTGCCCCTGCCCATGGGAGAGGCTCCCGGCTTCCCAAGCATCCCTCCCCCAAAGCACAAGAACCTACCTTCCTTGTGAGCCCAGCCTCGTCCTAGACACTCAGGCGGAGGCTCAGAAACCCACGGTCAGACGTGTGGGGCACTGGCCCGCTTCCCTAACTCCGTCCCATGCACCTGCCCTATTCCTCCTGCCTTCCCATAACTCTGCTCTTGTTCCCAAGTCCTCCCAGAAGCTGCAGCCACCACCTTCTCTTTGACTCCCCAGATGTGGTGGCAGGGAGAGGCCCTTCGCTCCCAAAGACACCACTGCCCGAGTTTCCTAGGCAAGATAAAAACCCTTCTGCCATCACAGAGCCTGAAGTATTTACTGTCTGGCCTTTGGAGGAAAAGTTGGTCAGCCCGAACTTTATTGTCAAAAAAAAGTTTTTAAATTTTTTAATTAAAAAATGTATTAGTGCATATTAGTTACACAGAGTAACGGGTTTCATATTGGCATATTGGTAGATGCACATAACATACTTGATTATTTTCACACAACTCCATTACCCTCCTCCCTCTTCCCTTCCAAACTTTCTTATTTTATTTATTTGTGTATTTCTCTATTGTTGGTACTGGGGGTTGAACTCAGGGCCCCCACACTTAGACCTTTATTAATTTTTAAGAATTTGCAACAGTATCTTGCTAAGTCGCTAAATTGCTCAGGCTGGACTTGAACTTGAGATTCTCCCTTGAGGGCTGGGACTAGAGGCTTGTGTCACCAAGCCTGCCAGACTCTGGGTGCCATCCCATCCTGACCCCTCTGAGTGGTGGAGACGACTTGCTGTGGCTGCTCTGCCTGGGAGGAGATGTCCCTGGCCTTAGTGGGCAGGGGCGGGCTTCCAGGAGGATGGCATGGGCACGTGGAGGTGTGTTTGAGATCTGGGGGCACCTACTTCTGTGGGGAGATTAAGTAAGCCCCCGTTTTCCCCTCACAGCACAAGAGCTTCTCCAGCTGCCCAAGCAGAACCAAGATGGCCCATTGCCCTGTGAACAGCCCACGATGGGGGCTCCCGAGAGCCTGGGGCTGAGGACCTGGCGCTGGAAAGCACCTGCCGCACCTGCAGCATGGAGAGAGCAGGGAGGGCTTCCCGGAGTCCTGCGAAGGACTCAGCCACTGTGCCTTCTCCTTCATCCACATTGATGGGAGCTGGGCTGGGTGAGAGCAGGGACAGAGCCCACCCTAACACGTAGCCAAGGGGAAAACAAGCGAGGGAAGAGTGGGATCACCGTCCAAGATGGAACTGGCCCGCACAGTCCCACAGAGGGCCTGCTGAGGCCCGCCTTGGGATCCCAGAACAGCGCCCAAGGAGCCCCAAGCTGCCCCTCTTGGGGTGGGGGACACAGGGAAATGGCCTCAGGAATCCATCACTCTTCAGCATCCCTCCCCAAAGCATTCCCTTCCTACCTGGCCACCACGGCAACCAGAAGGGGAATAGGGGCACTCAGTCTTCCTTGGTACCTGGGGATGAGGCCACAGTGGCCTGGAGGGAGGTGGACAGCAGACAGCAGCAGGAGGAGGACTTAGAGGCCCCCAGAACTGACCCGGGACAAGGAAGGGTTGAGGGCGGATTTCGCAGGCAGGGCCTGGGGACAGCCGGGCTCCACCAAGGCAGGAGGGGGGGTGATTCTGCCGGCAGGGCCTACGTGGCTGTGGGACCTTGGTGGCTCTTGACTCTGTTTGGGGCAGCCGCAGTCCTGTCCTCCAGACCCCTCTCCCCGGGGTCTCCCGGGAAGCCAGAGCTGTGGGTGGCTGCAGAGGAGCGACAGGGCCGGGGTCTCTCGGGCAGCTAAGGGAGGAAGCTGTGCAGGGTCAGGTCATCCCCCTCTCGGTCCTCCCTGCCCTCCGTCTTTAGGTCGTGACCCTTGGTCACAGCCCCGTTGGCTGCAGTGGAGGCCCCCTCGCCCCCATCGGGCAGCAGGGACGAGATGCAGACCATCTCTGTGGGTGAGTAGTTGCGCACAGGGTACATGTGGCCTTTGCGGGAGAGGCGGACAGCCAGCACCACAGTGCACACGAGGAAGATGGTGGCCACCAGTGCCAGGATGAGGATGGCCAGCAGGCACTGCCTCACAGGGATGCGCCCTGGGGCCTCAGTGGGGCTGGGGGCCGTGGAGCTCCTAGTGGGCACAGCCTCCCCTTTCTTCAGGCCCATGTTGAACAAGTTGCTGGCTGCCACAGTGGTGTCCTTTCGAGTGACAGAGCGCCCAAAAAAGGCGATGGTAGGGGTGGGTCCCGAGGACGAGAACTCCGTGGTGCCTGGCTCTGTGGACATAGCCACTGCAGCAATGTGCTCTGTGGGCAGAGCTTCTGTGACTGTGAGACTCACAGGCAGGGCCTCTATGGTTGCTGGCTGAGTGGTCTCTGGCTCTGTGGCTTCTGGCTGAGTGGTCACTGCCTCTGTGGCTGCTGGCTGAGTGGTCTCTGGCTCTGTGGCTGCTGGCTGAGTGGTCTCTGGCTCTGTGGCTGCTGGCTGAGTGGTCTCTGCTTCCGTGGCTGCTGGCTGAGTGGTCTCTGCCTCCGTGGCTTCTGGCTGAGTGGTCTCTGCCTCTGTGGCTGCTGGCTGAGTGGTCACTGCCTCTGTGGCTGCTGGCTGAGTGGTCTCCATTTCTGTTACTTCTAGCTGAGTGGTCTTTGCCTCCACGGCTGCTGGCTGAGTGGTCTCTGCCTCCGTGGCTGCTGGCTGAGTGGTCTCTGTCTCTGTGGCTGCTAGTGGCCCGGATAGGGCCTCGTCTTTGAGGGCAGCCTCCATGATAGAAACATTCACAGAGCTCAGTTCTGTAGCTAAATCCACTGTGACTGGCTTCACGGCAGCCTCCAGGGTGGGTAGCTCAGAGGTTCCAGGCTCCACAGAATCTGTCCACGCTAGATGGTCCTTCAGGGTCCCATGCTTAAAGTCTGTAGTTGCAGGCCCAGTGGTCTCTGTGAGTGTTTCTGGAGGTTCTGTGTTATATTCTTCGGAATAGTCTTCGAAGTCATCTTCCAGCTCCACCTGTCTCCGTCCCCGGGCAAGGGCAGGGCCTGGGGCTCCCTTAGCTGCATCCTCCTGGGTGGAGGCTGTGCTCAGAGGCACCAGCAGCAGCAGCAGCAGGAGGCACAGAGGCATGGTACCTGGGGAGACACAGACAGAGGGACATCAGGGCCCCTGAGCTCTGAGCCTGTGACCTCGGTCTGCTCTAGGTAGCGCACGCCAGGGGTAGAGCAGACCCTCAGTGATGACAGCTGTTATTTTTGCCATACAATGTGAAGAAAGCCACAGGGCTTCAACTTCCTCCACAGGATTCCTAGAAACTCTGTTTGCCTCCTTATCGGTTTTTGGCTAACACTTTCTATCTGTGGACAAACAAGCCACTGGGTTATAGAAACAAAGTCAGAGGAGGCCAAATCCTAGCTCTGTCTCTTACGAGCTATGTGACCCTGAGACAGACGGGTGCCTCTCTGAGCTTCAGATCTCCTATCTATAAATCAGGGATAAGAAATGGCACCTTTGTCACAGAGTTATCGAGTGGAGCCAATAAGGGGATGGATTCAAAAGTTCCAGGAGCACAGTAGGTGCTTGCTATGGCTTAGCCCTAAGATGTCCCCCAAAGACCCATGTGTTCAGAAGTGGGGCTCTGCCTCAATGGTGTCTTTGGGCGGGGATTCAAACCTATGATGCAGGACCAGGTTGAAGAGTGCGGGTCATGGGGCACGACCTTGGGGACCACAGCTGCTCCCTGGCTCCCCCTCTCTGGGCTTCCTGGCCTCTGCAAGGTGACGGCCACCCTTCCCATGATATTTGTGCCTTGGAGCTAGGTGAGCATGGGCCAAAACCCCCGCCACTGGGAGGCAAGATGGACCTTTCCTCCTTGTCCGCCCAGCTTCTCACAAGCTCGAGCTCAGTCTGAGCAACTTAGACTTTATGTCTCAAAAAAATAAAATAAAATATAAAGAGGGCCCGGGTCGTGGCCTAGCACTCCTTGGGTTTGGTCCCGAGTGCCAAGGGGGACAAAAAAAAAGGAAAAAGGGAAAGAAAGAAAAAGAAAAAGGAAGTGAGGGGAAGGGAAGGGAAGGGAACAAAAGCAATCCTCTCCTCCTTGAAGCTATTTATGTCAGGTATTTTGTCACAGCGATGGAAAGCTGGCGCACACGCGCGCGCGCGCACATACACACACTTGTGTGCATGCACACGGCAGAGTTCGTACACTGAGGCCCAACCTCAGCCCTTCCGTCCTGGGGGAGGAGGAAGACACGGTTCCTAACTGTTCAGACGCTCACCCACCGCCCCTCCTGGGCTCTTCGGGGTTCCTGGCAGCAGAGCCCTCAGCCACTTCCTGTAAGCAGAGTGACAGGGGCACAATGGCAGCGCCCGCTCTCTGGCTCCTGGGCTGTGCGGAGGGCACCTTGGAGGGGCGGGACCTGCTTTCTGCATCCTGGAGGTGGGGCACAGCAAGAACTGGCTGCTCTTCACCCTGTACCCACCCCAAATCCCCTGCATGAGCAGAGCATGGCCTGAATCCTGCATCCCCCAGGCCCTGTGCCGCCCCCGCAGCAGGCTGCCTCTGTCAGAGCCTCAGTTCCCTCATCTGTAAAGTGGGTGGTACTGCTTCAGAGGATGGATGTGAGGCTCAAACGAGCATGGGAGGTGCCCGGTGCTGGCTGCCAGCAGAGGGGTTCGGCTGGGGTTCTCTCCGGGGCTCAGACAGAGGACAGAGCAAAGGGAAGATGTCACAAGCCACCATGAGTGCTCAGGGGCCGCAGGTGCCTCTGGAAGCAGAGCTGCTCCTCTGTTGGGATAAAATGGGGACACCGGGAGACCCCAGATCTCCCACCTGAGCCTGCCCAGGGCCACCAGCTTCCCAGGTGTTTCCAGAGCTCTTGCTGAGAGTCTTCTGTCCCCTGAAAGCCATCAGCCTCAGACACACCCCGCCCGGCCAGTGCTGTTTCCTCGAGAGACACCACAGCCTGAGGCGGGGCTGAGCAGGGCCCAGCCCAACCGACAGGAAGGATGGGACCCACGGGGGAAAGAGGAGCAGCAGCGGGCGCTGAGCTCTGAGAGCGGTGCTCGGAGGGGCTTCTTTCCTCTCTGTCTCCCCTGGGCAGCCTCATTTGTCACCACTCCTCTGAAGCACTGGCCTTGGAGACTCCCACGAGATGAGGAAACTGAGGCTCACAGGGCTGTGTCACTACCAGGACCGCCCTCCTCTTCCCCCTCACCTCAGAGTGGTGAGGACAGTCACATCCTGGTTACCTCGGCGCTGCCTCACCAGGAGGCCAGAAGCTGCCTGTTTCCTGTCTTTTGCCCCCAAAACCAGCTGCTTCTGCCCCAGGCCACACCCAGGGTACAGGGAACAGCTGGGTACCCAGGGCCACACCTAGCTCTGGACACCTTACCATGCAGCCAGCAGCCTGGGCTGCTCAAAAATAAAGCCTAGGGCATGCATCTGTAATCTCAGCACTCTGGGAGGCTGAACCAGGAGGGTTGCTAGTTTGAGCCCAGTCTGTGCAACTGAGCGACCTAACAAGAACTTGTCTCAAAAAAAAAAAAAGTTTTTTAAAGGGTTGTAGCTATTGCTCAGTGTGAAGGCCCTCACTTCAATCCTCAGTACTACAATAAACAAATAAGTAAATAAACCCTTGGGGCCAGACATGGTAAAACCCACCTGTAACTCCACTTACTTGGGAGGCTGAGTCAGGAGGGTTGCAAGCTCCAGGCTAGTCTGAGCAACTTAGGAGACCTTGTTTCACAATAAGAATAAAATTTAAAGAAAGAAATGATGCCCACATGACTCTAAGCACAGCACACAAGGTTTTCGAATCTTCGAATTGTAAGCCTGAGTTTCATAGGGGTTGGGTTAAACAGCTGCCAGGTGAAGGGAACTGCTGGTCAATAAGGTGAGACTGAGGTGTCCCCGGCCCCGCTGCAGGTCTGATGGGGACTCCCATCAAACCAGTTCCACCCCAGCCCTGTCCCTGACAAGGTGGCTGTGTGACCTTGGGCAACTCGATTCACCTCTCTGAGACCTTAAGTATCGCATCTGGGGTTGCTTCCCTCTAACCTTACAGCACACTGAAAATATCGTAAGTCAAAGACAGCCCTGAATGCACTCAGCCTGGCCCGCCTCAGACTTAACAGGAAACCTACTTTTTCCTACAGTTCTAGCCCCGACAAGATCGAACTTCAGAGTAAGGTTTCTGCTGCCCGAATATGAGTACCACTTTCACACCAGTGCAAGGGAGAAAAGTCACCCTGGGCCATCGCTAAGCCAAGACCTAGCAAGCCCAGCCAAGCGCAAAGACGACAGCAGCGCCCAGGCAGGCCGCGCAGCGCGCAGTAAGAGCTCAGTGAACTCCGCACCAAGGGCAAGGGACTCCCTAACCACAGCCACCCCCTGGCAAAGTCCCCCACCTAGGATGGGCTGTGACACCTCCCACCTCCTCGGGTCTCAGAGGGTGGGACGGGAGCCCAGGCGCCTGTCTCCGTGTGCTGCGCTGGGGTGCAGCCCACAGCCCCGTCCTCCTCCTGTTTGGGGGTCACACGTACTGAGCACACACAGCCCGCCAGGCCCTGCTCCGCATCCTGTACATGAAGCGCTGGTCCGCTCGAAAGGATGGGAGCCGCTGCTAATGCCATGTGAAAGGTGGGGAAACTGAGGCCCACTTGGAATGCAGCCACAGAGCCAGAAAGACAGGCGGTGGGGAGTTGGGCCCCAGTCTTCCTGCAGAGCTCACCTCAGCCGCCACCCCTGTGGACAAGGCTGTGCCTGTTCTTGGAGCCATCCCAAAGGCCCCAGGCATGATTTGATCCTCCTTTTTTCCCCCCCCACCCTTGGGGCTGGGGATTAAACCCAAGGTCTTGCACGCGGTAGGCCAGCGCTCTGTCACTGAGCTGTCCTCCACCCTTTGTACTTTTGTTGAGACAGGGTCTCACGACACCGTCCAGGCTGGGCTCCAATTTGGGATCTTCCGGCCTCATAATTACAGGCTGGCACCTCCACACCTAGCCACCCCGCACTATTTAAGCCTTTTCTATGGTTTGCTTTCTAAAAATCCATTCCCATGCCAAGGGGACTGCACAGAGCATCTTGCCAAGCGTGTCACATGCCCAGGACTTAGCAGACAGGACACACGTGGCACCTTGGTGCTATTTGTCCCAGTGGTTCACAGGTGCTGTGGCTGTCTGTCTGAGCCATCCCACCAGACTGTGGGCATTTGGAAGACAGAGACTGAACGGGAACCCCAGTGGCGACAGGCTTGGCATCCCCAAGGCTTGTTGACTGGCTGGTGAGGCAGGACCAGGTACAGCTGCCCCGTACCACTGTCTCCAGACTTCCCCACCATGTTTGTCGACTGACACTCAAACCTTTGCCCATCGGCAACCTCCATCCGGTCAGGGTGCCACCGTAGACATTTTTGCTTATTTCCACCCAGCCCTACGCAATTCGAACACCACAGAGATGCTGTGTATCTGTTTGCCATTCTGTGGCCCTTTGGGAAGACACAGACCATGAGTTTTAGGGGAAATTTCTTCACCCTAAGAACCCGATGTACTGGCCTGCTACAAAGTGGGTGTGGCATTTTGCACAAATGAATTTGATGTGAACTCTGCCTGCTTTAAGGGGGCACAGCTTTCTGAAGACCCCTGTGGAGACAGACAGACCTGCCCCAGCCATCCTGTCTCCCCACTGACCCCCCTGCTGCCTTCCCACTCCCATTCAGTAAAGGGAACTGAGAGCTGGGCCCAGGCGCTACAGCGCTGCCACGCATGTCCTGCAGCCAGAGGGTCAGCTGCAAGCTCGCCACCTCCCACGGGTGGCCCTGCTCCCCTGTGGAGCTGTCCTTCCCCTCCAAGCTTCCAGGGTAATCTCCCTGGAAGGCCCTGCTGCAGCCCGGCTCTTCAGCTGTTGGGGTTTCACCTCCCCTGGCTGCTGGCACAGCCCGGTGCGGACCACATCCTCCATGCGGGGTGTGGCTCTGGGTAGCCTCACAGGAAGCCACTCCAGGCCCACCCTGGGGGCTCCAGGTCAGGGATGGATAAAGGAGGGAAACAGAGGTCAGGAAAAAGAGTTCCAGGCGTAGAGCCCTGGTGTGTGTGTGTGTGTGTGTGTGTGTGTGTGTGTTCCTCAATCCCCACAGGGAGGGAAGCAGCTCCTGACTCAGCCTGCTTTACTGCCCGAAAGTATCCCAAATACAAATTAACAAGAGTATTCTAGTGATTATTTTTACTAGTTTCTCCTTTGCTAACAATAGTATCACAATTCTAATACTTTTATAATTTACCACAAGCCAGTGCCATTTCCTCAATCTTACAAAGTGTCCAAGAACAGTGTTTTCGTGGCCCTAGAGCAAACAGCTTCAACACAAGCCCGCATGCCTCCTCCTTCCCGAAGCCCTCCGGTCCTAATCTCAGTTTTGTTCCTAAGCAACTCGCTGGGATTCAGTTTCCCACCTTGGAGAGAAAGGGGTGGGATGATGTCTAAGGAGAAGCTCTCGATGCTTCTGACATTTCTGAAGTTCCCGTTCAGAAGGCCGCAGCAGCTGCAGGCGAGCGAGGCCAGCAGAGTGGGCAGGTTAGACACTGAAGGATCAGAAACAGGAAGAGGCCAAAGAAGGCCACAGACTCCAGGAAGACCTTGGTCCGAGCCCATGGAGTCTGCCCTCCGAAGGGGCTGCAGCTCAGGAGATGCCCAGCAGTTCTACCCTGGGTTCACCAGCAGCTGGCAGGCAGGTCCCCTGGTCCCCTGGTCCCCTGGCCACTCCCTGTGGTTTTTGCAAACCAGCACTTACCGTGCTCAGCAGAGCATGGGACAGCTGCCTCCTGGGCCTAGAAGTGACTTCTTTGCTTTAGTGACAAAGCCCCAGACTAGGCTGCTGGGCACTGTATGGCACCCCCTGCCGCGTCTCAGACCCTGCCAACCCCCAACGGCAATGTGTGTAGAAGAAGGAAGCGAGAATGTGGTTGCTCAGCCCGGGACCACGTGACGGCCCACACCCCCTTGTTTGTGACAGCTCGGGTGATGACGCTGATGAAGACTAGGTGGACAGCGAGAGAGGGGCCTGTTGGGTCTCTGTCCGTTTGGACTCTCTGTAACCATGAAGACACCAAAGACCATGTGGAAACCTCCTGGGAAGGTGCCCCAGGTTAGGGTATCGGACCCCCCAGAGAGGGGCCTCAGCATTACCCTAGAGCGGTGACAGTAGGGCAGCAGGGGACCCGCCCTGGAAGGCAGTAACCAGAGGAAGAGAGGGTGGCCCTCCATTCTCGCCCACACTGAGGCAGGGGCAAGGGCCTGACCACCACGGGCTTTGCAAATTGGACGCATCTCTTCCCTCTGGGGCCCTGCAGCGGGTCCTTTTGATAGCACTCCCTTGGGAGCTGGAGTACAAATCCCACAGGCAAGACCTGCTCATGTTTTAAATTTTTTTTTCCTGGTACTGGGGATGGAACCCAGGGCCTTGTGCATTTTAGGCTAACGCAGTAGTGCTGAGCTACAGTTCCAGACTTTTTTTTTTTTTTTTTTTTTTTTGAGACAGGGTCTTGCTACGAAGTTCAGGCCAGGGATGGCCTTGATCTCACTTTGTAGCCCAGGCTGGCCTCAACTTTGCAGTGATCCTCTTGCCTCAGCCTCCTGAGTGCTGGGATTACAGGCATATGCCGCTATGCCCTGCCTTTGGACATTTTAAAGTTTTATTTTGGGGCAGGGTCTTGCCGGGTTGCCCAAGCTTTACTTTGAACTCTCGATCCTCCAGCCTCAACCTCCCAAGTAGCTGGGATCACAGGCAGGCACCACCACACCTGGCTAGAAACTGCTTATCTCAATTGGCTTATTCAGCCATCTGGCCTGGCGCACAGCCGGGATGTACTGAGGATACCCAGAGCCAGCAGCTCTGGGCTCTTTGGTTTTGGTTTTTTGAGACAGGGTCTCAATATGTACTTCAGGCCGGCCTTGAACTCACTGTTACTCAGCCTGGCCTCAAATTTGCAGTGATCCTCTTGCCTCAGCCTATCCAGTGCCGGATTACAGGCTTGCGCCACCACGCCCAGCAGTGCTCTTGCCCTCCCGTAGCTCTGTGTCAGATGGGCAGGCCAGGGAGTAAACAAGTAGACCTAGCATTACGACACAGTACGGTAAATGTCACTCTGGGGTGAAAGGAGGGAGGGGTGCCTGTAGGAGAATCTTCCTAGGAGAAAGGCACTTGAAATCATTACCAGGGCTGGCTGGCTGGGCAGCCCAGGGGGAGCACAGCAGTTCGGAGAGGGAGGACTACGGGGTCCCCTTGAGTCACCTTACGGCTTTGCACCAGGCAGGGGCTCGGGACACAGAGAGAAGGCCACACCCCGCCTCCCACACAGTCTTCAAATGAAGTGGGAGAAGGGTGCCAGGGCAGAATTTCAACCTCATGAAGCTGCTGCAGCCAGGGGAGACCAAAACCCCACCCCTACACAGACAGGGAAACCGAGGTCCTGGGGGGTGGGGACTGAGCGCCTGAGAGCCCAGGCTTCCCCCTCTCCCCCAGGTTTCAAACTGCCAGCCCTCGGGGGCAGGAGGCGAAGCCAGGACCAGAACCATGGGGGAGCCAGAGCTAGGCACGGGTCGGTGGAAGTAAGGGCCACCCAGCCCACCGCCTGCCTGGCTTTGCACAGAACGTTCGGTGACACAGAACCGTTTTGTGAAAGTCACGGTTCCATGTCAATAAGTCAGGCTTCCTTGGGGCGCAGCAGCACACCTCTAGGAGCAAGTGTCATCAGTGGGCACTTTCACGCCGCAGTGCAGGCCGGGCCTGCAAAGCCTCAGAATGTCCGCTTCGCATGCCCTGCACCTCTGGCTCCCATCAGCGCCCGTCTGAGCTTATCTCACAGTCAGAGCAGCCCCTGGAGGAAAGGGTTTAGAGAGCTGTGCTCAGATTCACAGCCACAGCAGAGGCTGGGCTCAGGTCCAGCAGCTGGGAGCAGCTCCGGACCTGAAGCCCAGTGGGTGACGAGCAGGCTCACAGCGATGCCGGCGACGGCTTCAAGCTCTCCGGGCCAGGGATGTAGCTCAGCAGCACAGCACCTGCCTGGCAAGCTCTCTGTGTGAGAGAGAGGGACTTGCTCAGTGCGGGGAAGTCTTGGACAGCTAGTTTTGCTTTGGAGAGGAGCAAATATTTTTCAGGAGATTCTTGTTCAGGTTGTTTGTGTGAGAACCATGAAACCACACCTCGGAGCATTCAAAGTGAGCATGGTTTGGCTTCTAGGAATGGAACCCAGAAATGTGCACTCCAATGACTGCGAAGGTATCAAAGCAATGGTATCAAGCATAGAAGTATTAGGGAAGAAACCCAGAAGACCCATGCTTGCGAAATCTGTCCCTTGGGAACACGACACTAAAGACAGGTACTGAAGGTCAGCACACCAAGGTCTGGAGGGTTTGCTCTTAAATTTTACAGACTGTGACCTGGGGAGTCAGGTGAGGAAGTTGGGCTGCACCCACATCTGCAGCCAATCAACTCTCAGGCCTTCACTGGTTTGTCACATTGTTTCACACTAGAAAACCAAAGCTTTCTCTTCCAGACAAGGCAGACTCAGACAGACCATGAGACTCCCCTCCAGACACCTGGCAAGTTCAAAGCCAGCGCCCAGTTCTCATGAGCCTCTTGTCCGTTTCCCACCTAACCTGGCTGGTGGCTTTTGGCTTTTGGCCTGACCACTGCTCTGCAGGGCGCACGAGTGCAGGGCTGGTGACAAAGAAAAGCAAAGAAAATATGTGACTGGTGATATGGTTGCCTTCTCTGCTCTATATCCCTGGAAGGTTGCTAGTTATTTGATTATAAGTTTGTTGACCAGTTCTGGTTGGTGTAAGTTCTGTTTTCCTTCGGTCTCAGCATTCACAAGAAACAGCTTCAGTTTCACTTAAGATTTGCAACTCAATCCGGGCTTAGGACACTCAAAATGCCTAACTGGTTTTGCCTGATCAGGAATGATTCAGCCCTGACCTTCAGTTTAATTTACTTATTTTTTGTGGTATCGGGGGTTGAACCCAGTGCCTTTGCACTGAGCTACATTTCCAGCCCCACCCGCTTAAACAAAGTCTTGCTAAACTGCCCTGGCTGTATTTGAATTTATAATCCTCCTGCCTCAGCCTCCCAGAGCGCTAGGATTATAGATTTGCAGGACTGCCCCTGGCTTCAATGTCTGCATCAGACAACCTCCAACCTCCAAGACTCGGACCCTCCACGGCGGTCATCTCTGCACTAAATCCAGCCATCCTTATTTCAGGGGAGAGGGAAAATGTGTGCAGTCCCTGATGGACCTTGAGCAGGAATCACTGCAGCCTACACAGCGGAGTTTCCACCGCGTCCTGTTTCATTGCATTTTGCTCCTACTGTTTCTGGGTGGGTGATGGGGTGTGAAACTGCTCCCTCCACAACAAGCACAACTGTGTTGAAACCTAGTAATCCAGATGGAGTGGCTCATGCCCTTCATCACAGCTACTTGGGTAGCTGAGGCGGGAGGACCACATGTTGGAGGTCAGACTGGGCAACTTAACGAGAGCCAGTCTCAAAACAAACTTTTGCCTCTCATGTGTAAGAGCCTGGGTTCAATCCCCAGTATTGTCCAAAATGACAATAACAACCACCACCACCACACACGCACACATACACACACCTAATACTGTTGAACAAAGAGAGGAAATATTGTGTGATCAGTCAGCAAAGCTTAGTTTCAATCCAGTATGCACCATGTGTACAAGAGTAAACTATACAGTCATTAGGAGAAAGAAATTAAACATTGGAATTCTCGAAACGTGGGTGGGCACAGACTGTATCTGGTGCGCCAGGTACTACCTGAGGTGTCTGTATCTGTTCGTAATATGAGGGACCTGAGTGCTGCCCCTCCCCTCAGGAACCCCACTTCTGTAATCCTGACAGTGGGGGACACTGCAGGAAGGCAGAGCTGTACCCCTCCTGGAACCCCACCTGCCTTCCCCAGTGGTCACTGTCCAGAGGCGAGGCTCTGCGAGGGTGCAGGTGGATGTGACCCCAGGGCCACTGGCCTTCAGGGCCTGCGGCTTCCTCCAAGCCGAGGAGCTGCGTGCAACCTGTTTCCCCGGAGTGTGATTTCTTTAATTTGCCCACCCTGGATCCTCTGTTCAAACGAAAGTCAAAGCCTCATTAGATACAGTAAGAACGGAGCTGCTCCGTTCCGTGGGCCAGGCCGGGAGGGAGCAGGGCTGTCACACCTGCTTGCTCTCCAGCACCACCCCCTCCACCCTACAGGCTCACAGCTTTGCCCACTGGAATCATCAGAAGGGGAAGCAGCTACCTGGCACAGCCGTGGCCAGGATTCAATTCCCCTCCTCACATGGAACATTTCACTTTCACACCCCCTCCACCCCATTCTGGCAGCCAGTGTGGGCAGCACCAGGAGCCAGTTTCTGGCTGGGGAAGGCAGTGTAAACCCTCCTCCAGAGTGCAAAGAACAGGGGAGCCCGACCCGTGCCCTGAACCCACACTGTCCATGAGGGCGACCGCAGAAGGAATCCGGGCCTCTGTGGCCACCCCTGAGTACCCAGCCCCTGCCTGGCAGGACAGACCCAAGGAACAGCAGGATCTCAGATCTCAAGGGGCTTGCGGGCCTGCTGGACACAGATCTTCACAGCCTACTCATGGGACTGAAATGGCACTAGGGTCACAAATGCGGCTGGACCTCAGGTATGGACACGGAGAGCTAAAGGGACCCAGAAGCCTCCTAACCATTGCTGCCCACTCGGCCTGCCAGAGAACCCCGACTTCCCTGATGCCCTGCTACTGGAGGAGGCACGGAGGGGCTCAACAGCCCAGCCTGGGGTTGACTTGGTCACAGGGTGGTGCTGTGGGAGCAAAGTACAGCCGAGCAGATAACCCAGTGGGTGCCCCCATCCGGGACAATGTCTCT